GGAATATCTGCAAGAAATACCATTTGCCTGCAAGTAAGAACCGGTGGGACCACAAAACAGACAAAGTAATCGAAAATGAGGAAGCTGAAGTGCTCTGGGACTTTGGAATTCAAACAGACAAGCAGCTGCCATATAACACCCCAGACTTAACAACTGTTGATAAGAAAGACAAAAGTCTGGATAGTGGACATTGCAATACCTGGAGACAGCAGAAGAGAAGAGAAAGAACTGGAGAAAATCACAAAATATAAAGACCTGCAAAAATACCTGGAGACAGCAGAAGAGAAGAGAAAGAACTGGAGAAAATCACAAAATATAAAGACCTGCAAATAGAACAACTATGGCAAAAAAAAGCAAAGATAGTACCAATAGTAATAAGCACCTTAGGTACAATCCCAAAACATCTGGAGTACTACTTGAAGACCATCAGCATTGACAATATCACCATCAGTCAATTGCAAAAGGCAACTTTACTTGGAACAACTTACATCCTGAGACGATACCTTTGACAACATCAAACAACAACATCTGACTATCCCAGGTGCTTGGGAAGCACTCGATAGGTGGATAAAAATGCCAAATCCAGTCTAAACATCTGGCTGACTGTGTGACCACCATCCTGAGACGATACCTTTGACAACATCAAACAACAACATCTGACTATCCCAGGTGCTTGGGAAGCACTCGATAGGTGGATAAAAATGCCAAATCCAGTCTAAACATCTGGCTGACTGTGTGACCACCACCACCACCACCACCAATAATATGCTTCTACTAGCCAGAAGAACCAAGCAGGAGCAATACACAAGTTCCATCTAAGATTGCTACAGAAGTTGGGGATTCTGGTTTACTGTGATGTACAAATGTTCCCAGGGATTCTAACTTCAACAATTTCATCAATAATTGTCAAATATTTGCTTGTTTGTTACCTTTTGGTCTTGTTGCTCCAGCAATGCTTCCTGTTCCAGCAATTTTTCCATTAATGCCTGTTCTTGCTTTTTTCTCAGTTCATTCTCCTCTTCTGCTTGCTGTTAATGTTCAGAAAAAGAAAATGTTCACTGGTAAGAGCTACTGAAATTTCAAATACAAGGGATTTATTCATTCAGCAAAAGACATATCCATTAGTACAAATTTAACTCAGACATGCTGCCTGTCCAATGGGACAGAGCCCAATTTCTTGGACCTATTGTTGCATTAGCTATAAACTCCTTTGAAACCCCCTAAACTATAAGAGACCTAAATGATCAATTTATTTGCATGAAACCTCAAACCAGATGAAATTGTCCCATAAGCGCTGAATGCAGAGGAAAGCACATGTCATGGGGCAGATAGAAGCTTTCTGCTTCTTCTCTGCAAGAGAACCACCCGCCTTTACAGGGAAGGATCCCTGGTTGCTCCGGCTCTTCTCTGGCTCCATCTCTGTAGGTTCAAATTGGCAGCCCCTCCCAACTGCCCAATATAGAAGTGCTGCTACATTTTGCACATAAGGAAGTGTGTGTGTGTGTGT